GTGATACTGCCTCGGAAACCCAAGGAGGGGTCGCTATGAGTCGGGGCTGACTTGACGGCACATAACAACAACAACAATGGCTTTTCTACCCATAAGTCATTGTAAACTCAGTGGTGGAATGAGCAACTGAGGAGCTCCTGATTGTAAATGTTATCCACCTGGGTTATTTCTGTTGGGCATTGCACAATGCAATGTTATGGGAGGTTCACTCTCAAGTGCTTAGAGTTCTGATGCTATGATTGGCTAGTTTGACCACTCTGCCGGGCTCAAAAGGAGGCCTCCTAGAGGCAGAACGCTCTCTGACTGCTGGCTGAGGAAGATGTGCTGCTGACACACGTGCTCCTGAGACACGCGTTGCCGGGAAAGAGACGCAAGAGACACGCATTGCTGAGTGAGACACTGAGGGACCAGCACTGCTGGGAAAGAGACTGTGAGAGACTGTTGGCTGAGAGACAGTGGGCTGGGAGAGAGACTGAGCATTTTTCCCTGAACTCGAATTGTAGCCCGTGGTGCTTCCCTAATAAACCCCATAATCTGTGAGTTCTGTGTGGCCGCTGCAGCGAATTATCGAACCCAGGAGAGAGGTGGTGGGTGCTCTGGGAGGAACAGTTGGAGAAAGGGCTGGAGGGAGGCAGCATGTCTGGCCTCGCAGGAATAGGCCTTGGGCTATTGATGGTGATTCTGTTTTCCTCTTGTGAGATTAGAGGAGGTCAGAACATGTGGCCTCCTTGCTGTTTTTGCACACTCACCTTTCTGGTCTTCACACTTTATCAAAGACTACTGACCTAGAATCTGATTTAAAACACAGGGCCCTGTAGGGTCAGAGACATAAATACTCTGCATGTGTAGCCAGGTTACTCTGAGAACTATCCCAGGAGCTCTCAGGTTAATCTTTAGAGAAGTGGCCTGGCGCCTGGCATGTCTTCCTGAGCCTACTGGACAGAGTGATCCTGATGTGATGATTCATTACCATGATATCTGCTACCTAGTCAGGCAAAAATAAGTAAATAAATAGATAGATAGATAGATAGATAGAAATTTTTTTGTTCTTTTTGTTCTCCAGTTCACAAGATACTTGCCCAGTTGCCCTCTGGACTTCCCCAGCCTTCTTTCCTGCCACAAAGCTGATTGCTAGACTGTGGTTGTACGTCCCACTACTGCTCTCACACAGAACCTACTCCAGTCTCTGAGGAGAAAACAGCCATGTCCTGCCTGTACTCTGAAATCAGAGGGCTACATGGATGCCTCTATGTCTGCCCCTGTTGTGCTACCCCAGGTGTTCTCAGGGCTAATTTTCTCCATAGAAAGTACTCCAGTATACATCAACTTTACCATAAGCAGGTTCGACTACACCCAGCGCCTAAAAACTACCCCCAGACAGTTACGGGCTTCATTCTTTTTTGGATATACACTTAGGAATATCATGTCATTTAATGTCTGCCACAGTAATGGAATGCATGATTTGACCCATTTTACAAATGAGAAAACAGAAATCCAAGAAAGACAAATCACTCACAGAAAGTCAGTAAGGGCAGCACCAATGAAAAACAGAAAAAATTGGATGGCTGACCCCAAAACCTCTGATGAAGCAGCCAGTTGCATACATTTGACTGCTAACCAGAAGGCTAACCACCAGCCAACCTCAGAAGGAAGATTGGGCAATCTACTTCCGTAGAGATACCACCCCAGAAACACAAGGAGGGGTCTCTAGGAGCTGAACTGACTCCACAGCAGTGAGTTTTGGAGTTCTGTGTGTTTTGGCCCTGTACTCACACCTGGCCAGGCCTAATATTGTCATGACCCCCACAGTGCAAGAAAAAGCAGGACACATCTGCTTAAAAAGTCACTCAGAGTTGTGGAGTCATGGAGTTTTATGTGCGACTAGGACTTGGTAGGAGCTAAGGGTCTTCAGAGCCTGTGGCCAACTTACCAGTGGTTAGTTTGCTGGTGAGGCACTCTGCCAGTTTCCTTGGATCCTGTAATCTTTGTCTCTGGTAGCTGGCAATGTTAGTATTCCTAGCAAGGGCCTCAAAAGACTTGATTGTGTTTTTCACATGCTATGTGAAAAGGTAACAGCCACCAATGCCTTCCTGTATCTTTTGACGCAAATGTGTCAGTTCTTGGGCCTGAGCCTGAATTAGGGAAATGTATTTCCTAAGATGGGAAAGAAGAGTGCAATATAAGAGTCAATGTAATAAACTATAGGTTATGACCGTTTCCTCAGAGACATCTCTTAGAATACCCCCAAGGAACTGGCCAAGTTGAATTCCTGTACAAGTTCTTTGACTTGCCTGTGGCAGAGGGAATGAGAAAACAGCCCTGGGTATATGTGTTCTACTAACTTTGCTTTAAAAAGGTGCCCCTCCGGATTCTCACTTCAGCCCTTCTCCATTTCCACATAATACACATCAAACCATGTGAAGTAAACAGCAAAGAAGCCAGGCACAAAATGAGGGACAGGCATATCTGATGTTAATTGTAAGGATGAAAACAAACAAACAAAATAATAAAAGGGTCAAGAAGGTAGCATTTTTTTTTTAATAACATGAGCATATGCCATAATTACTAAGGAAATAATTAACAGCAAATAAGCTGAATAACAATTGCATCACTCCATGTGGTATTTCATTGTTTTCTAATTATTGTGTAATGTTCTTCATGGGTCCATATCTAGAATGTGTTCTCTGTGAGACTACAGACGGTGCCGTGTACTAATAACTCACAGCACCTGGTAGATTGTACACACACACAGAGAGCTAGACATTCAGTTCATACTTAGAACCATGAACTCCTAAGCAGGACTGGACATTTCCACTCATCAATCTCAGTTGATGCCTGAATCTTCCCTCTACTGCACTATGAAGAGGTCATCTACAGATTGCCTTTCTAATTCTAATCTTTAGAGTTTCTGTAAGTGTCAGAGGAAGTAAAGGAATAGACTGGGGAGGAAGGAAAGTTTAGCTCACTTCCCCACCCTTTCTGTAACCACCTCTACCCGAGCTGGAAAGAAATGAGCAGGCAAGATCACTCATTTCCTTAAAGTTCTTTTTCAGAAACCCAGCCAAGACCTACTCAAAATCAGTTAGAACCAGCTCAGACCAGTTTGGGACCCCGGACATGTGCATTAGGGAAAACAGAACGAAGTTGCTCAGCTAACATCTTTCCTTCTGCCTAAGCCTCCATCACTTGATGACAGGAAGTCGTGTAACTCATCTCACACACAAGCGCACAGCATTAAAACCTGCCCTTTTTAGGACCAGGTTTGCTGGTCTGATGGAGCCTGGTGGAACCCCTGAGACTGTGGCCCCTGGCTGTCCTTCAGTTCTTGATTTGAACCCACTCTTGTGGCTTCTAACAAAAGACAGGCACAGGAGCTGAACATTTACATGAGGTAGATACACTCCTTGGCAAGATCAATCATGGGAGAAAGAAGGGTTGTGTACGCACAGGGAGACAGCTCAGGGGGCAGGATTGCATGGAGGGAAGGACACAGGGAGGAGGTAAGTATGGGAGGAGTGGGAAGAGGGCCGCTGCATTGTGGGGAATTGCAGTCAATGTCATGAGACAAAGTGTACGTGAAGTGCTATATGGAAAATGAATTTGCTCTGTAAACTTTCACCCAAATCACAAAAGATATTTTTTTTTAAATTGCCCTTATAAACAGAGGTGAACGAAACTTCAGCCAATCCCAACCAATTCATGCCCAAATTTCTGGAATATATGTGAATATATATAGTCCCTCTTTCTGAAACCCTACAAATACTGCCCCACTCCTGGAGCCAGATTTGGGGGATGCTTGTGTCTCCTTGCATTGCTGCTTTACAAAATCTCACTGCCTTTGAGTTGGATCCAACTCATAGTGACCCCTCCTTGGGTTTCCAAGGCAGTATTACTACAGAAGTAGATTGCCCAATCTTCCTTCCGAGGAGTGGCTGGTGGGTTTGAACTGACAGCCTTCTGGTTAGCAGTCAAATGCCTTAGGCACCATGCCATCTTTTTTCTCTCCTCTCAAGCACTCTGTCTGTGAACTGATTCAGCTTGATTGTGCACCAGACAGTGAGTGACTCATGTTAGCCTGGTTTCAGGGAAAAACAAGGGCTCCACACCTATGGCCTCTTCAGTCGACTATCTCTGATTTAGTGTGTCTTACATTGAGGCACTAAGATTTCATTTCAACACAAGATTGAAAAAAGTTTTGACTGCCACAATCTACTTTATATTTGAAACTTTTTAAAGATAGGAAAGGTAGGTCCTCAGCAAATTAATTATCCATTTTCCAGGCAACATTTGCTTAATTATCTCTCTACCCAATGGTCCTACCACTTAATACTCTATGTAGTATTATAGCTAGAAAAAAATTATAGTTAAAAAGGAGAAACATTTCTATCAGGAAAACTTGGAAATTATCTTTTGCAGTAGAAAATGTTAGTCTATTAATGACAGCCACGACCCTGACAAATATAAGAGAAAATATAACAAGTACAGCAAATATTTTTGAGAGATTCACACATGCCAGGGATTATTCTAACCACTTTATCTGTAATCATGTGTTTAATCTTAGCCCCCTGAGGTAGGTAGTGTTGGTATCTTCATTTTACAGATAAGCTAGCTGAGGAAACTGAGTAGGAAAGTTAGGTAAATTTGTCCAACATCACAAAGCTAGAAGTTAACATTGCTAGTGTTCCAATCCAGGCTTCTCTCTCTACTTTATTCATCTGATTTATAGAGGAACCCCGGAGACCTACATTCTTCCAGGTACAGGGCCACCATCCAGTTTCCATTGCCCTCTGGTTATCTAGTCTTGTACCTTCCTAGTTTCTGTTGTTCTCCTCCCACAAAAATTGGCTCTTCATTCTACCAGCCTGGGCTGCCCACTTCACACAGTAATTCACCCTCGTCCACAGCCTGCCCCGCACAGGGTCCTCCTTACCCAGTCCTTGCTGCTGGTCCCTCCTCCTCAAACTGCATCTCCTCCTTCAACACGGAGTCAATGAGGGCCTGGTACTCTGCACACTCTGGGAACAAAGGCAAACAGCCCTACCTTAGTGGAAACTAGATCTGCCACTGATGATCTCTGCCTTCAGGGGAAGACGGAGAGCTAGCTGATCCCAAGCACATCAACAACCCCGGTTCCAGGCTCTATACTGCATTTTCCACATCTTTATTTCTCACTCTCCCAGCTGTAAGACATTTGATCGCTTCCCTTTTAGAGCCAAGTAAAGATCAAGGAAGCCTGGTGGCTGCTAACTGAAAGGCTGGTGCTTAGAATCCCCCAACTACTCGGTGGATAAAGATGTGGCAATCTGCTTCTGTAAAGATTACAGACTTGGAAACCCTATGTCAATGGGTTTTTTTTTTTTTTTTTTTTTAAGAAAACTTAGAGGTTAAGTAACTTGTTCAAGATGATTCAACTGGTATTTGGCAGAGTCAGAATTCACATCCCTTGAGGGACTGGTGGACTCCTTTTCCAAGCCTTGTGGCCTCTTAAGTAAAGCAGCCACCTGGAGAATGAAGTAGCTTTTTCCTGTGTTCCTGGGAGGGCCCCAAAGACTATAGGACTGATGATTCTTCTGTGTCGATAATTTCAACAATCTCTTAATAAAAGATTTAAAAGTTTATCTGAATAAAACTGTGCAAAAATGCAATGGGGAAAATACATGAACGACTTACCTTCAAATGCTAACAGGTGTTAAGTTAGAATTGGTAGATGCCTATATGCTAGGCAGTGTTCTAGTAGATTTTCAAGAATTAACTCATGTAATCATCCCTGCTACTTGAAGAGGTAAGGTACTATTCTTGTTACCTTTACAAATGAAGAACATGAGACACAGAGAAGATAAACAACTTGAATTTCAACTCAGGAAGTTTGACCTTAAGGTACATACTCTTAATCACTGCACTGGATTACCTCAGTGCCTAAGGCATTTGACTGCTAACCAGAAGGCTGGTGGTTCAAACCCACGAGCCACTCCTCAGAAGGTAGTATGGCCAATCTACTTTTGTAGAGATATCACCTCGGAAACCCAAGGAGGGAGTCAATATGAGTCGGAAACGACTTGACCGCAGTGAGTTTGGTTGTTTTGGGAAGATCTTAAGCTGTATCTTTCTTCTCTTCTAGCTTCAAATTTTGTGTCCTACATTTACATGATCACTCAGAAGGAAGGTTGGGCAATCTACTTCTGTAGTGATACTGCCTTGGAAACCCAAGGAGGGGTCGCTATGAGTTGGGTGTGACTCAATGGCAGGTAACAACAACTAATAATGTGTGAGTGTGTGGAAAAATCCTTAGTTCTCCTTCCCTCAAGCTTATCTTTTTATATCTTTAATAAGTAGCTTTTATTTGTATTTTTGGTCTATGACAGGAAGTTGAATAAGAAATTTTATCCCCCCTCCATTGATTTATTGAAAAATACTTGTGTACATTTGAAAGCCAACAACTTCAATGTCAGCAAAAACTTTGGTTCCCCTGTTCCCCTGGTCCCTTCAGTCACTATCTCTCCACCCCTGTCCCTTATTTATTAACAGGTTTGGGGTTGCCCAGTGGATTTCCAAATCTGAAAGCCACTGTGGGGAAAGAAGGGTCAGCCTGTACAGCAGCCTGCTGGGACTGGTGGTCTCCTTTACTTGGCTTTGTTCTCATTTGGGCCAGGTGTCTTATAGCCCAGATGCTGGAGGTCCACCTGGGAAGCAAGCTAGTTCAGAAAACATTTCTATCTTTCAGGCCAGTTAAGCTAGCGAGAAACCTCTCATCACTCCTGGGGATGGGACCTAGGGGTACCACAAGCAATAAACAAGCTGTAACCTCCCAAACTAGAAACACTCCCACCTCACTTCCTGCCGACCGTCCTGCTTACTGATACCTTCTTGCAGCCATAAATTCCAAACTAGACCATACCTTCTTGCAGCCATAAATTCCAAACTAGACCCTCCTGCTTACTGATATCTTCTTGCAGCCATAAATTCCAAACTAGTCCAACTTACGTCAAGGAACAGAAAATCACTGGAACTCCCATTGTTGGTGCTGTTGTTGTTTGCCGTCGAGTTGGCCCCGACTCATAGAGACCCCTCCTTGGGTTTCCGAGGCAATATCACTACTGAAGTAGGATTGCCCAACCTTCCTTCCGAAGAGTGGCTGATGGGTTTGAACCGCCAGCCATCTGGTTAGCAGTCAAGTGCTTTAGCCACTATGCTACCAGAGCTCCCATTTCAGCAGTGAGGGGTCCAATGGTCACTTCCTTGCTAAGGTATACCCTGTTCCCTGTGAAAAAGGCATGACACCTCCCCAAAAGCTTTGAATATGCATAACTCCCCACTTCCCCTTAGACTATAATACTTCCCTAACTACTTCTGTTGGGGGAGACAGACATTTGAGAAAATATTCTGGCTGTCTCCTTTCTCCTGCTGAGAAATAAAATGCATCTCACTCATTCCACTTGTCTCACTCATTTTGTTTG